AAAGTAGGTTTCATACATACAAAAATTAATTTATAATTTTTATAGCTAGCTTACCATACATTTCATTCTGGATAGTGATGTGTAGAAGGTTTAAGCGTTCTTGTTGCTGTAACACATGAAGATCTGTGACCTCAAAAAGGTATGATACCATATCTTTATGCCCAATGGAAGCTGCCACAGTAATTGGTAATTCTTCGTCCTGACCACCGCGGATGTTTGGTAGATTCTTATTCTTTTCTACCATTTCTTTAGCAATCTCAACCAGCCCTGCGTTTGCTGCATGGTAAAATGCCGTATTCCCATTGTTATCTGTTTGTTCCAAGTCACCTACTTCCATTAGTTTCATTACCTCTCGCACAAATCGGATGCTTCTTGCTTCTAGTGCAACGAAAAATAATGATACACCTTCCTCTGTTTTCAGACTAACAAATCTTGGTTCCTTCTTTAGAATTGCTACTGCAGGCCTCCACTTATCTCTCAAAGCAGCATTAACAAGAATTCGATTTGTTCGTTGGGTTCCAAAGTGATTAAGACACAAAATCTTATACTAAAAACATAATATTATTATATTGTTTGGCTAATTGACCTACATATGAAAAAAAGACTAATATTGTTTGGCTAATTGTTGTTTTTGATATTAGAAGAGGGGCAGAAGAGAATTATATTTTTCTATCCAGAAAAAGTTGAAGCATTTATGATAGGTAATACTTTAACTTTTCTTTTTAGGAAAAAAAAAAACTTAATTATAGTTAAAAAATCAGGGCAAAACCCTAACAATTTATATATATGAAAATCCAGTGACATTTAATTTGCACTAATTAACTTGATGTTGTTTTATGAACTCATAATCCTTAAGATATTTAGTAACTAAGAAATATTATAGGGCTAGAAAGTTTCAATTATTGTCATGTGCTCTTGTCTTCAAATTAATTTGCTAACATAAACTAAATAAGGGTAGAGAAGCATGCATCTTGGAGCAGCAACAATAAAATAAACTATTTTTACTATATTCTTCAATGATTTTTCACTGTGTTTATTATATTCCTGTCTAGAGAGACAACAAAAAAAAGAATGATTTTGTATTTGGGCTAGTTTAATTAGGAGGAATATCATTTGCTTATTCCATTCTCAATAGAGTAAAAATTCTGTTTTTCCTTTATTCTACAGAAAACTCAACCATTGCATATTTCAACTTTGAAGAATCTAAGTATGTGTCCCTTAATATAGTTAAGTCCTCACATGTTTTTATTAAAATTTTAAAAAAAATCTTGATAGTAAAATATTGTCTCTAGATCTTAATAGGGATAAGACATATGACCGAAATCTCAGAGACACACTTAAACTTAACTAAGGTTCTATTATCCTGAACTCATTTTTTTCATAATTTTGCACCTTTTGTGCTGACGTGACACCTTCAACCACCCAAGTTGGTTGTGTTTGTACACACTCATCCGCCACGTGTGTAAATATTTTTTTTAATTAAAAAATATTCTTATTTTCTTTATCTTGTATTTAAATTAAGTTAAGACACATTTTTTTACTTGTATCGGAACTTTTTTTTTACTTACATTCATTGTTTTTTCTCTTTTATTTTTGTTTTGATTTTATTTTCTTTGTCTTTCATTTTGATTTGATTCCAAATGTCTTGTATTTAAAATAAGTTAATTTTGAAAGGATATCAAAATAAGTGAAGGAAAAATCAAATAAAACATAAAAAAATTAAAACTTTAAAACACATATTTTTTTTTTAAAATAATTAAAAGTGAAAAGATAATAATTAATTAAAAAAAATTGAAGTGAAAAGAAATTAAAATAAAAAATTTACAAAGAAAGAAATAAAAATAATTATATATATATATCAATAAATATGTGTACTAACTAATTATAAAGTTATCAATCAAAAAATGACATGTGTCCAATTTGTAAACTCAACACTTGTCTTCAAGAGAGTGTGCACACTCTCTATGTCATGTCAACGTTTGTGGTGTATTCATTTCATTTTAAATTAGTTTAGAGTGGTAATAGCACCCTAGTTAAGTTTAGGTGTGTCTTTGTGATTTCGGGTCATAGTCTAGGAGATACTTGTGTCTTATCCCGATCTTAATATTGAAGGATTATGACTGCTATTCAATATATGAATGTACATATAAAATTAAAAAGTAGTATCAAATTAAAAATTCAAGTTCCTAGAATTGATTGTTCTCGCAACACTGAGCTAATTTCTAAACGGTTTATAAACAAGTTTCCAGGAGAAAGAACGAATGTTAAATGGAATTTTTTATTTCCATTCGACTTGAAATTCACTCGCTTATATATCCGGAATAATCTCTTTAGTTTATTAGTAATTAATGATTGTATCTCTTAATTTTATTTTCAACCTCTAACCCACCCAC